AGACTCCACACAGAGAAGCTGATTCTGTTCTAAACTTTTTGGATTTTGGCATTCCCATGATGTATCCTCGGAAGGAAAAGATGTATAATAATAAGGTTACTACGAGCATACCTCAAAGTATGCACTCAGACAGTACATCGTCGTCGTCGGTCGATACTTTCGCTGTACTGTCTGAGTGCATACTTTCAGGTATCCTTGTAATAACCTAATATTATTATTATTATTATTATCAAGTTGAAATTGATGATGACAATGATATTTACTTTAAGTTTTTAAGTAAAGGTAAAGCCAGCTGATAGCAATCTTGGAAAGCAGTTGAACCTGAGTTGCCATGTTTTTTGAATATATAAATATAGTCATTTTATTATTAAAGTAATTCATATTAGTTCTTCAAAATAAGTAACGTTATATCAGAGTAAAAGTATTTAGATAGACCCCCCGCCCCGCCCGCCCACACCCACAAATAGTTCAGTACCTACTACCGGTAATCGAAATTGTAATCGAAACTGTAGAGGTAATTTGGTAAGCATGCAGTCTGTATGAAACTATTTTTGAGTGTAATTTTATCATATTTTTTTTTTCAATGATGGTAGCTGATTACTTATAGCAAGACAATGTTTGTAGTCCTCTCATCCACTACTGCTGTGTTCGACACACACACACACATTAATTCAGTTCTAATCTACACTGAAGCAATGCAATGCACACAGCAAGCTGGACTACTTAATCTCTCATTATTACATTTTCTCTGGCATCAATTTATTCCTGGTTGCCTCCATATCACAATGTTTTGACACCATATGGCAATTAGATGATTGTAGCATAGGAACGTGAATAATTTGATAAATATATAATACTGTTGGTAACAAATGTTACACCAGATGGTGTAAAAACAATCAACATGTTTTACAGTGAATGGATTATTGGTAACGATGTATTAATGATATTTGCAGTGTGTCAACTACATCATTCATTTGTAATACACCATGTGAAACCACAAAAAGACAGGACAAAGAAAGATCAAACAAAATGTATAGTCGTAATGGCATCAACACATGGCGCTGAATTCAACAAACACCAGAGTATTTTTTTTGGAAATTTCCATGCATAATAATGTGCTATACCGGTATTCATTTGATGATGGTCATTTTGGTCATGAAACAAAGATATCTAAACACCATATTAACCTTTGAAAGGTCTGCATTCGACATTAAACTAAAAAATAAATTCAAACTCAAGTTTGCTTAGACTGTGTCTTTCACTGATTCTGATTACTATGAGATTTTGAAATTAAATGATTGCTCAGTAGTTTAAAAAAGAAAATGTAAAGAAAGTATTTAGATACTTTCAAAATATACTGTCCTAAATTTACCTCTTTTGAAAAGTCATTCTAAGTTTAGGGATCAATGTATCCTGTACTCAGCAAACTTATCTCATTTAATTTAGGGACAGAATCGATGGCAATGTTAATTACTAAATGTAGGCACAAAAATAGCACTTTGTTGTTTTTATATACTGTAAAATACTTTATTTTCGCACTTTTCACTGAAGGAATGATTCAGTGAAAATAAAATCCAGCAAATATACATTTTCTTCTTATATTTTACATTAAACTCGTCAAAAATAAAAAATAAACACCCAAACAGTTTCTTCAGCGAAAATTAATTCCAGCTAAAATTAAGTATTCAACAGTAGTTTGTTACTGTCTAATCTGGGCATAACTTAACTTACATGGTAGCTTTTATCTAGCATTGCCTTTTCATAAATTTAATCAATAATTCTAACTTATTTTTTATAGTATATACCAATGTTACTAATATGGATATATTTAGGTAGAATACTCTACATAATTTATATACTGTAGAATACTGTAGAATACTTTATTTTCGCTTGGAATTTATTTTTGCTATTTTCGCTGGAGGGATGATTCCGTGAAAATAAAATCCAGCGAATATACTTTTTTTCCTATATTTCACATTAAACTCATCAGAAATCAGTGAAAATAAATTTCATACAAAACGCCCAAAAAGCCTTTTCAGTGAAAATTAATTCCAGCGAAAATAAAGTATTCCACAGTACATGGCATTTTGAAAGCAAGCAGAGATAGATCTAAGCCAGCTTGAATATTAACCTTTTTCACCACCAGCTCCCTCTTTTCATCACAAATTCACAAAATAGTCCTGTTTATAATCTTCACTTTCCTTCAAAAGATTAGGACAAAAAACATTTTTTTATAATAAAAACTGAAAATTGACTCAAATATTGTCTGTTGGTTCCAAAATTAGGGTTCATTTCCGGAAATACTGAACAATATAAAAAAAGTGCAGACAAATTTGGGCAAAAAAGTCTGGTGGGGAAAAGGTTAAGTTACACTTTGACAGTACCAGTACTTTATGATTACTTCTCTATGATGTAATTAAAACAAGCAGCCTGTCGGCTGAGATAGCTCCGCTGTTAGCAATGCATATTGCAATTAAAGAACTGAAGATATCATTAGAAAATGAACAATATGTATAGTATCAATGCAATCAGACTTGCTGTTTTTAACAAGAAGTGGAAAACATCACTTTTTATCAAAAATTACAAAAAATATTCATCAAAACTAGAGAATTGAAGATATCAACACAAAAGAGAGGTCCACATGTAGTACCTATATGTATAATATCAAAGCAATTGGACTTGCGTTTTTTAATAAGAAGTCAAAAATATCACTTTTTACCAAAATGACAAAAATATTCATCAAAATTAGAGATTTGAAGATATCAACATGAAATACATAAATCTGAGAGAGGTCTACCCAAGGTACATATACACCAAGTATCAAAGCAATTAGAGTTTTCAAGAAGAAGCTGGAAAATAGAAAAAGTGACACGGACGACTACAAACAATCACTCATATGATAAGCTCCGCTCAACAAAGTCGACAGCGAAGCTAAAAAGTTGACACGGACGGCGATGGACAATCCCTCATATGATAAGCTCCGCTCGACAAAGTCGACAGCAGAGCTAAAAAAAAGACCTAGTACACAATATGAAAAATAGAAATTGAGAATATTGCAATTCCTGTATTTTTTTTATTGTGATTGACATGCACTGAAAAATAACAGTTTATAGATCAGACACATACATGTACTACCTGTACAATTCATAACGTATGGAGGTTGCTTTTACTTTATACTAAATTCACTTCATAAAATACATACACAAGTCAGTCTAGCTAAATGTTTACCTCCACAATATTTCAATTTTGATTTGACATGCTTTCATGTAACAGTATTATTAGATCAGCAACACAATTTGTTTCATTGTCGCTATAGATTCTATTTTTAATCAATAAATCTTTTCATTTCATAAAATATACCAGCTACTGTAAAATAAAAAAATTTCGCTTGAAATTAATTTTCGCTATTTTCACTGAAGGAAAATAAAATAAAATTTTCAGTGAAAATAAAATCCAGAAAATATGCCTTTTTCCCTATATTTTTACATTGAACTTGTCAAAAATCAGTGAAAATGAATTTCATACAAAACACCCAAAAAGTGAAAGTTAATTCCAGCTGAAATAAATTATTCTACAGTAAGTCAATTATTAATAGTTAAAGTATGACTACGAGAACGTTGATGATCGTTAACAGTCTGTTTGGGGTTGAGGTTCTAGAAAATGTCCAAGTCTTGTAGGCCAGAAGACGTTTACCTGATCCAAGACTCCAAACATGGTGTTAATAGTCTGTTTGGGATTGAGGTTCTAGTCTGAGTCTTGTAGGCCAGAAGACGTTTACCTGATCCAAGACTCCAAACATGTTGTTAATAGTCTGCTTGGGGTTGAGGTTCTAGTCTGAGTCTTGTTGGCCAGAAGACGTTTACCTGATCCAAGACTCCAAACATGTTGTTAACAGTCTGTTTGGGGTTGAGGTTCTAGAAAATGTCCAAGTCTTGTAGGCCAGAAGACGTTTACTTGATCCAAGACTCCAAACATGTTGTTAATAGTCTGTTTGGGGTTGAGGTTCTAGTCTGAGTCTTGTAGGCCAGAAGATGTTTACTTGATCCAAGACTCCAAACATGTTGTTAACAGTCTGTTTGGGGTTGAGGTTCTAGAAAATGT